TAAAATTAATTTTCATCTTATAGTATATTTTTCATAATTAATATAATTTATTTTTTAGAAAAATTCACATATAATTTCCATAGATTCTATTATAGTAAAATAACACAAATATCTTGAGTGTTCTCCCATATGCAATAAGATCCAACTGCTTGCATATCAAATCCATAATCTTGCTAAGTGAGATTGTCGTGCATTAACAAGAGACAGAAGCTGGCTTTCTTCTTTATTATGGACAACAGCATCACACTTCTAAGTGCCGCTTTCCATCCAGGAACATCATAGCTTCTGGAAAAGTAAATTGGGATGTGCTGGCCAGACACCCTGTGTGACAAGGCTGCGTAGTCCATGTATAAAATGTATAAACATGTATAAACAGCTGATATAACTGCTATGGTGTTATGGGACATGTCTGCTACCAACAGATTACCTAGTAATTTTGGGGCTAATATTGCCGTTTTCTACATGAATGAAAGCTTACACTTAATCTTGTCTGAATTGACTGATAAAAGTTCGGCCGTTTATTGAATGAACACGTATGGGGTACTTTTGATTATATTAAATAAAACGTCTAACAGTCACAATACAAGAAATATATAACAATGACGGTTTGCATACTTACTGCACAGATAAGACCTACACACAACGATGCAGCATTACAGAAACATGTTATATCGTTTACCAATATCAACTTCGCATACTCAAGGTGTGGATGAGTTGCATTCATTAGCATGTTATACCTATGTACGTCTTTGGCAGGATAACTTTTACTGCTTTAAGCGCTGGGGCTTTGAAGATGAAATGGAATACGTTTGTTGTCACGTGGTTTCCTGATGCAGGGTTTACGACTTCGGCATGAACTTTGACCTGCATACTATTCTCCACAGTATACACAATCTAGGTATGAGAGAAATGCAGACTGTCGTCATGTCGAATCTCAAAACTACAAATACTAACTGGTAAAATAACTAGTAGATACATGAATACAAACATTTAGGTAGTATTTTTAATGGACTACAGATTTATCACTAGTGTAAAATCATGCGCACGAGATTAGATGACTGCTACACTGTCCACAGATTTTATTGGCCACCTAGCGCACGTACAAAAACTATTAGCACGTAAAAGGCTGCTAATATCATACAGGGTTTCTTCTACATAGAAGGCACTGCGGCACATCGCCGTTGTAAAAATAGATCACCACGTGCTTCGGACTATATACATGGAAAATCGCAATGAAATTCACAGCAACGTTTCTTTTTGCGTGCCGGCACACTCCTGTGTCATTCCCGATTGCAGCTTTTTCCTAGATTCCGGGAGTTTTGCTGTCACTCCCTCATACCAGCGCGGTGCCCACCCCTACATATACAGCAATAACCACGCCCACACGACTGTAACAATCAGTCCATTCACCCCCACCCCGTACTTCAATCAATGCCGGCCCAGCCACGATGTGCACAGCCACGGACGTGGGTAACAGGGGTGTCGCGGGCTGCTTTTTTTTTCTTTTTTCTTTTGCGTGAATGCGTGAGAATGCGTAGGGCATGCGGGAGTATGGGTCCAGATGCGTGAGTCTCCCGCGAAATGCGCAGCGTGAGACTTGGTAGGTCTGCTAATAGAGTAAGATTTAAACTAAAAGGTGAAATTTTATTTTCGGGGGCATCAAATGCAGTCTAAGACATTCAAATTTTTCCAATTTTGCTGGGGGGGACCCCCAGAACCCTCTCTACCTCTCTCCCCCCGCGTCTGCCTGCAAAATCCACATTCGTGCCTACTGCACGCCTTTGAATCCATCATGTGCGTTTTTCCCCAAACTGGGCATTACCGCCATTGTCTAATTTTCCCTCAGAAGAAACCCTGTCATAAACAGTATAAACCAATTTACATCACAACTGGAACTCATACAAACTACGGACAGTTAGCAGGAATTTTTGTATTGTATAGATACTTGTTCTTGTCATGTAGTAGTACTTATTTATTCACCTGGGAGGAGAGGAACAACAATGACCCGATCTCTACTGGTTCTCTGAAGACGATGTCATCTACAGCTTTGATTACTGGCATCGACTGACTGAAAATGTTAATGCTGCTTATGAGAAACAGTAAATATTACGATAATAACATTATTTACATAGTGACAGTAAGGTTGAATGTTCATTATACCCTTCTCTTTAATGACAAATGGTTACATTGTTTCACAACTCATAAATAACTATGTATGTATTGCTATGAGGACTTAAATAAATGAAAATGGTTTATTACCAATATAAGTAGGCATTCGTCCACGCCAATTCAAAAGCTTGTCTCATCAAATATCCACCAAATATCTTCCCATAGAGATTTCGCTCCTGAAATAATGGCACAATATTTATAATATCACACCTTTCTGGGAACAATTTTCACACATATATAGACATGCACATACACAATTATCAATAAGTCACTGATAATCTGGTCGGGTTACCGTTGTACGTGTTAACTGTATCATGTAGATGTAGGCGCCTACGAGGCTACGTATGTGACAGTAGATTGAGATGTGTGACTGTAAACTGAGTGTTACGTATGTGACTGTAGACTGAGATGTATACACGCAGCTAGGGCCTGCATAGTCCGCAAATGCAGACGTAAACTCCGCTTTGCTAATCTGAGGGTGCGGGTTTATCATACTGGGGTCTGCGGTCGGCTCGGACTAGGGCCTGCATACCTCCTAGACAGAATATTTCTGTCCCAGGTAACGTTTTAGATTTTGGATGCGTTATACCACAGGCACAGGCACTTGGACCGTTTCAATAATAAAATGATGGTTAATAAATACTACTTGCCAGTACTACTAGTACTACTAGCCCTACCAGTACCAGTAGTAGGCAGTACCACTACCAGTATTAGTCTTAATGTTTGATTTGACCTAATAACTTCACTTCAACACCGTCCAATACACCGCTGCAACACATAGCGCGCACGCCCTTGTGCATGCACAAATACACAGTGATAGAGAGGGTATCACGCGTAGTGGTGGTGGTAGGGGAGGGAGGGCCCAGAGGCCGGGGACTCTAATAGCAAATGCAGTTCAGTCCTTGTTAACAGTCAACAAATCCATGTTTAACCCTCCTCTTGAGGGTCAAATGGTTATCAGACACTTACTCTTCGCACATCAGCGGAAAGTAGATTTCATGGTCCTTTCAATAAAGTGATAAACGGTAAGTCAGCGCTGAAACAAAAAGGTTTTGCACTCGGTCCATTAGACCATGTCCTCAGAAAATGTCTGATATCTGACTTTTCCCCCACTGCCCTTTGACCTGTGACCTCCAATTTCGCGCTGGTGATGGGTTTCCTCCCCATCACACTATACATCAAATATTAAGAGCGTAGGTCAAGCCGTTGAGATTTTTGCCACAATTCCGCATTTCCTCCTATACCTTAATTTAAGGGGGAAATATTCCCCCTCCATTGACACAGCTTGATCTTTGACCCTTGATCCCCAAATTCGCCATCCCGAGTCCTTTTCGCGACTCCCCCCCATAAATATTCCACTACGCTAGCTTTCCCAATAATAAAAATCTT